AGCGCAGGAGGGACAGGTGGCTAGTTAGCAGGTGATGACAAGGCCACACTCCTGGCAGGGTCTCCCTCAGCTGGCTCGAACTACATGTCCCGTCCCAACCCCCTTGCCTGCTGGTTTCAGCAAGCATCTACTGACACTGGGCAGGTGGAGGTGGCCTTTGTTGCTGGGAGGTGCCTGCCCACCAGGGGATGCCCTGGGGAGTGTGATGCCCAAACAAAAAGCTACTTTTCCACAGGTGGAACTCAGCCTACTCCTCACCAAGATGCAGCCTGCAGGTGGCGGTTGGGCCTACAGGGTGGAGCTGCCGGAGGCCACAGTGTGTACCTGCAGTCCTGTCCCTTGCTGGAGCAGGGCTCTGGACTGGTGTACAGGGGATCCCTGGGGAGGTGACACACAGTGGCTCCCGGTCCTGGACAGAAGCCCAGCTCCTCCTTCCCTGTCTCCTCACGGTCTAGGCTTGCATAGCTAAAACACCCACATTTTTCTTTCTTCATTTCTTCACTCAGCAAATGTTGACAAGGCACCTATGGGTGGTGTCCAGGCACAGGACATATCTGTAAATGGACCGAGCTTGTGGTGGGGCAGCTGATGGAGAGACAGCAAATGACTAGACTGAGAGATGGAGGAAATGTATGCTATACTGTCACCGAGGAGATAGAGCTGGGTGATGGGGGGATGGAAGCAGGAAGGGACGCAGGTGCCCATGCATGGGCAAGACAACCTCTTTCTGAGGATGTGGCATCGGCTGTGATGGACAGGATTCACGAGCCATGCTGCCGTCTGGTGGCACAGGCTGGTTGGCAGAAGGCCCAGAGGCACATGGGGGAGGGGCCCATTGGCTGATGTTCAGGGGACATGGACCAGAGCTGAGATCTGAGGCAGGGAACCTGGCCCAGGTTAGCCTGCACGTTAAGCCACCTGGGCAGGAATCTGGATTTTATCCAAAGTGTAGGAAGAAGCCATGGGAGGGTGTTTTCCTCTCTGAAAACATACTTTGCTTCTCAGAGCAGTTTGAGACTGCCAGCAGAATCAAGCTGGAGGTGCAAAGATCTCCCCTGAACCCACTGCTAACACTCACACTCCTGCTTTGTGTTTGTTGCCACAGATGACCCCATATTGACACATCATTTCATCCTCGGTGTTGTACACTCTGGATTTGGGCAAATGTACGATGATGTGGACCCCCTTGCGGCAATGCAGAGTTCCCCTGTCCTGACCCCGCTGTGCTCTGCCTACTCATGCCCCTTCCCCAGCCCCTGCCACCACTGATCTTGCTGCTGACTCTGGAGTTTTGCCTTTTGCCAAATGGCACAGACTTAGAATCATACAGAGTGCATTTTAGATTGACTTCTTGCATAGTCATATGCATGTAAGTTTCCTCTTTAACGTTTTGTGGCTTGAGAGCTCCTTTCCTTTTAGTGCTAGGTAATATTCTGTTGTCTAGGTGTGCCACAGTTTATTATCCCCGTGAAGGGCATCTTCCAAGTTTTGGCAGTTATGAGTCAAGCCTCTGCACGCATGCAGGTGCAGGTTTGTGTGGGCCTGGGTTTTAGTTCATTTTGGTGAATACCAGGGAACACGTTGCTACATGCAATGTTAGAGTGTATGTAATTATGTAAGAAACTTGCCCAAATGTCTTCCAAAGGCGCTGTCCTATTTCACATTTCCTCCAGCAATGAAGGAGTGTTTCAGTTCCCCGCAGCTTCACCAGCATTTGGTGCGGTCAGTGTTTCCTAATTGGCCATTCTAATAGTTGCGTAATGTCTCTCATTGCTGCCTGTTGGTTATTCTCCAATGGCCTATGATGTGGAACATCTTGTGACATGCTTTCTTACCAAATGACATTTTTCTCCTCTTCCTTCTCTTCTTTGCTTGTCCTTCCTCAAGAATCTATTCAGGTCTTTTGCCTCATATTAGTGAATTATTGAGGTTCTCAATGTTAAATTTTAAGTTTTTCTGGTATTGTTTAAAGATATATTTAATTGAGAAGCAGAGTTGCATAGAGGGGAGAGAGAGAGACTTTCAAAAAAATTTTTAAAAAAGAAAAAATTTTAAAAATAGAAATAGAATTTCCATCTACTGGTTCACTCCAAATTGCTGCAGTGGCTGGCGCTGGGCCAGGCCAGGCTGATGCCCAGAGCCTGGAACTCCCTCAAGCTATCCCATGGGTGACAGGTAGTTAAGCCATCTCCTGCTGCTTTCCCATGCACCTTAGGGAGCTGAGTTAGAAGTGGAGCCGCCAGGACTCAGATTGGTATACACATGGATGCTGGCATCACAGGCAACAGCTTAACCTTTATACTACATCTTTGTGTATTTTGATCAATAACTATTTTTTTTTTAAAACGAGAGAGATTAATTTTTATTGCAAAGGCAGATCACATTTACAAAGAGAAGGAGAGACAGAGAGAAAGATCTCCCTATCTGCTGGTTTACTCCCCACATGGCTGAAATGGTCAGAACTGAGTCAATTTAAAGTCAGAAGCTAGGCGCTTCTTCTGGGCCTCTCATGTGGGTTCAGAGTCCCAAGGCTTTGGGCCATCCTCTATTGTTTTCCAGGCTGTAAGTGGGGAGCTAGATGGGAAGTGGAACAACTGGGGCATGAACCAGTGTCCATATGGGATTCTGGTGTTTGTAAGGGAAAGATTAGCAAGTTGAGCCATTGTGCCAGGTTTGATCCATTTCTTTTTAAAGAGTTATATTTATTTATTTATTTATTTATTTTTATTATAAAATCAGACATACAGAGAGGAAGATCTTCTGTCCGATGATTCACTGCACAAGTGAGTGCAATGGTTGGTGCTGCGCTGATCCGATCCGAAGCTGGGAACCAGGAACCTTTTCCAGGTATCCCACGCGGGTGCAGGGTCACAAGGCTTTGGGCTGCTTTCCCAAGCCACAAGCAGGGAACTGGATGGGAAGTGGAGCAGCCAGGATTAGAACCGGCATCCATATGGGATCCTGGCGCATTCAAGGAGAGGACTTCAGCTGCTAGGTCACACCGCCAGGCCCCATTTATATATTTGAAAGGAAGAGTTAGAGAGAAGATCAGAGAGAGAGCGCTTCCATCCGCTATTTTTGCTCTCCAAATGGTTACAATAGCCAGGGCTATTGAAGGCAGGAGACAGGAGCTTCTCCTGGATCTTCCACATGGATGCTTGCACCCAAGCACTTGGGCCACCCTCCTCTGCTTTCCCAGGCCATTTGTAGGGAGATGGATTGGAAGTAGAACAGGCAGAACTTGAACCGACACCCATATGGGATGCTAGCACTACAAGCAGCAGTATAGCCTGCAGAGCCACAGTGCTGGCCTCACTGCACTCCATTTTGAGTTAATTTTTGGAGGATTTTGATTGAGAGAGCACTAACTACCTTCAGTCACAGATCACTGTTGGCTGTGGGGGTGGGGACCAGGAGTGGAAAGAGGCAGTTACATTACAAGCAATGGAGGACTGGGACTAGATACAAGAGATGGGTCTTTTCTCACTGCTTTTCCCAGGCCACAAGCAGGGAGCTGGATTGGAGCTGGAGCTTCTGGGACATGAGCCAGGGCCCAAATGGAATCCTGATGCATGCAAGCCAAGAATTTAGGCCCTAGGCCACTGCTTTGGGCCTGATGTTTTTGACATTAGATGAAAGGGATTTGCAGGGGATTGACTCTGAGGGATGTGGGCTATTAAAGAATGCAGAAGGACTCCTAGGTGTGGAGCCTAGCCAAAGTTGAAGGGGTCGAAGGGCATTTGGATGCACCATTCAGTTGTCTACTGAGAGGTCAGGCTAGAGGTAGGAGCCTGGGATGCATCTGTAAAAGGTTGGTACCTGCAGCCACTCTGTGCTTAGTGAAACACAGAGCAGAAAAGAGAGCTGGGACCATGAACTCAAGCTTTGCCTCCTGCAGCTCAGACCCTGGGGGCATCCTGGCCAGGGCCTGGAGAGTAGGTGACATGTTCCCAATGCAGGGAGTGGCTTGGGTGGCCACTCAACAGGGGCAGGCAGAAGGCAAATATCCCATACAGAGGCCCAATATCCCTCTGCAAGCAGAGGCTCCATCTTCAAGTGGATTCCCCAGGGGGCTCAAGAGTATGCCGGGGAAATCAATGAAGTGGGCCAGCTGAAAGTGAATGTGAAGTGGGAGGCTCAGTATGCAGAACTGGCCACCCCTTGTCATGGACAAGCCCTGAGGGTCAGGGAAGCCTAATGGGCCTGCAAGGTGGCATTATGCCTGAGGCTGGGGTAGTCCCATAACCCCAAATCCCTATGGGTTTGGGATTTGACCTCAGCCCAAGGTCAGGCTACCAGGTGAGGTCAGAGGTCCTGGAGGATAACTATGACAGGGATGAGCTGGCCCCAGGCTGGGCCTGGTGAAGCCAACAGCAGGGTCCAGGAGAAAGGTGGCCTGCAGATTAGAGCTGGCATGTGAGGGATCAAACATTCCTGGGTGTGCTCAGGAAATGCCCATATGGTATGCTGGTGCTTTAGGCTGAGGCTTAGCCCATGCTGGCACCAAGGAGAGTCAGGAAATCAGATTTTGAGCTTAACACCTAAGGTAAGGACTGGGTTCAGGACTATTGAACAGATAGCAGTAGATGGCCAGATCCAGTCCAGACAGCTCCCTCCTCCAGGTTCAGGGACTTTGGATGCTGAGCTCCCAGGAGGTCCGAGGGGTGTGACCTCTCCCTCACTCTACCTCCCCCCTCTCTCCTTCTCGCCATTCCAGGACAGCCTAGGCCCAGCTATAAAGCTGGCACAGCCCAGACTCTCAGCACACCAGCCACACCCTAGACCCTCTAGGAGCCTTCTGAACACAGCACCATGGGGCCCCTGTGGCTTTGCTGGACACTGTGACTGCTATCCCTGGCCCTACCAGGAGCAGCGCTGAGCATGGCCAGAGCATCCCTGCTATGTGGCTCTGGGGAGGCCCTGTGGGACTGTGGATGATCGCCAGGACCAGGACATAGGAGTGAAAGCAGCACTCTGTGGTGGGGTTGTGGCAGGGTGAGATGGTCAGCCACCTGGTTGTGACCCCCACTCCGAGCGCCCTGCTGACCTTTCTCCTGTCCTCAGAGGTGGCCGGCAGGCTCCTGATCACCGAGGCACACACACACCTGCTGGTGTTTGGCATGGAGCAGCGGCTGCCGCCTAACAGCGAGCTGGTGCAAGCTGTGCTGCGGCTCTTCCAGGAGCCAGTCCCCAAGGCCGCCCTGCGCAGGCACGAGCGCCTGCCCCCGCACAGCGCCCAGGCCCGGGTCACCGTGGAGTGGCTGCACATCCGTGACGACGGCTCCAACCACACCTCCCTCATAGACTCCAGGTGGGGGCAAGGAGGGGCTGGGGTGTAGGCGGGGTGCGGGCAGGGGAATGTGGCTCTGTGTGTGCATGCTTGTGGGGCGGGGCGGGAGGGGTAGCCCAGGCTCCACCCCGCCCTGAGGCTGCGCTCTCTCTCTCTTTCAGGCTAGTGTCCATCCACCAGAGCGGTTGGAAGGCTTTCGACGTGACGGAGGCCGTGAACTTCTGGCAGCAGCTGAGGGAGCCCCGGCAGCCGCTGCTGCTGCAGGTGTCTGTGCACAGGGAGCACCTGGGCGCGGGCGCGTCCAGCACGCACAGGCTGGTGCGCTTTGCCTGGCAGGGGGAGGCTGGTGGCATGTCGAGCGAGCCGCAGGTAAAACAGGACCATTTGGAAGCCAGCAGCTAGCAACTGCATACTGGTGTCCCACATGGGTGGCAGGGACCAAGCACCACTGCTTGGTGAGTTAGTAGGAGCTAGGTTGGAAGTAGAGTAGCTTGGACTGGAATTGGCATCTGATGTGGGATGCCCACCTCATTGCAGCTCCACAGCTCCAGTTTGTAACTGTATCTGGATTTTTGAACCTGATGTCATATGGATCATACTTTCATTGCCCCTGAGCTCCCAGTTGACCTCTGACCCTGTGCCTGGTTGTCTCCCCACAGAGCTCAAGACAACTGTGACCCCAAAGTGCCAGCTGACTGCCAATGACCACACGTTCTAGATTCTGAATTTGCCTCCTCTGACAGTGAGTCAGCTGACCTGTTCTCCATCAACTCCCTGGCCCTGTGTTCTCTGCACTTCTGTCATTTGCAACATTATGTTCTAAGCACTTAGCCATGTGGGTACTGTGACCTCCAGAAAAAGCACCAAGCTCTCGTTTCCTGCCCTGTCACTGAGCGTTGGCCAGTACCAAAGACCTTGGATCAAGTGTGGGGTATGCTTCTCACATGGACTTAGTGAGACACAAAACATATTTGTTCTGTAATTTTGTATTTCTCTATTTTATCAAGAGTCCTAAAACTTGAGGACAGAAAGTTCTACAGTGAATAAGGCAAGTTGACTGGAGAATTAAGCAAAGGACCTGACTGGGCAAAGACTTTCTTAAGGTCTTGTTGAAGCAACATGGGAAGCCAGGTTTGAGATGCATTCTGATTCTAGTGGATGCCTGGGAGACAACATCTTTTTGTTGCTGCCATTCTAACTGTAATAGTGATGGGATTTGATTTCAACCCCTGACAGCAACAATTTAAACAACTATCAAAATGATCATTGCTACAGCCGGCAGCTCTAGCCTGGTCTCACACAGGTGGCGGTGTCCCAAGTACCACTGTTTTCAGGTGTGTCAGCAGGAGCTAGACTAGAAGTACAGATTTGGGGAAAGGCAGCCACTTTCCATACTAATATTGCAGAATGTCTGGAGTAAGGTGCTTTCAATCTATGTCCTTGACCTGGGGGCCACTTTTTTTTTTTTTTTAAGATTTATTTGTTTTCATTGAATAGGAGGACTTACAGAGTGAAAGCTCTTCCATCTGCTGGTTTAGTCTCCAAATGGCCACAACAGCCAGAGCTGAGCTGATCTGAAGCCAGGAACCACAAGCTTCTTCTGTGTCTCCCACACAGGGTCCCAAGGACTTGGGCCATCCACAGCTGCTTTCCCAGGCCATAAGCAAAGAGCTGGAAGGGGAAAGAAAGCAGAGGGACACGAACCAGTGTCCATATGGGCTGCCAGCATTTGCAGTCAGAGGATTAGCCAGATGAGCCATCACACCAGCCTCTCAGATACCGTGGGTTTGTCAGTCTGCTCAGCTTTTATGGTCTGTAAATTCAGTATCCTTGAGACTATTTCCTTCTGTCAATAGGAACAATCCCTGACTTGTACACAGTTAATGGCAGTTTAGGCTGGTTTTACAACCGTGTGCACACTGACACAAGAGGTGCTGGCAGGTTCTCTACTCCCGTTCTGATGTATGCATCCTTCTTTTGATTTTAAAATAATCTTAGCACACTGGAGAACAAATGTGGAAGTCTGCCAATTATGGAGGCAGGGGCGGAGTGAGGACACGCAGGTTGGGGAAAAGATGGACAGGAGCAGTCTAAGAAGCCAGGCCAAGTCGGGGGACCCATGCCTAGGAACCTGCTGGGGTCAGGTGTGGGGTCTTGGCAGCAGGAGACTAAATTTGGGGTAGAGAGGGAGGGAAAGAATGGGACAGAAAAGAACTGGGTGTGTGTGTGGCAGGGAGGGAGGCAAGCGATCCAGCCCTCCCCCGGCACAGGCCAGCGCTGGGATCCGGGACAGGCAGTGAGGAGAGTATTTTCGTCATCACGGGGAGAGATGAAAGCCGAGAGAAGGGAGAGAGGTCAGAGAAGCGGCAAGGCTGCGCATGTGGGGAGGCAGGAGCCGCTCAGGGCCTGGAAGGCCTGGGAGGAAGTTGGTCCCAACCCCTTGTTTTGCAGCTGTGAAGCCTGGCCGACAGAGGGAGAGGTTTGGGCGGCCCCAAGGGGCAGTGAGCGGGCAGTCCTGGGGCAGAGACCTTGGGGCACCATCTGGCTACCGCGTAGGGCCAGGGGGCTGGGCAGGACTCAGCACCCCAGGGCTCGGCCCCTGGGAGCCTTCAACGTAGCTACCCGCGTGGGTGGCTGGACGCGCAGCCTCAGGGTTCCTCAGGGTTCCACTGGTTCCTGCGGCAGGCAGAGCACGCTCAACACGCATTCTTCACCCATCGCCCCAGCTCCCCCTGGGCCTGTGGGGGATACTCAGAGGAAAACAGGGACATGAATACACTCGGATACCCTCCTAATCCGCACCTCCAACCAGGCTGGGCCGGGGTCTCCCACGAATCTGGGCAGCCGAGGCAAAGAGAGCTGGCCCCGGCGGCGGTGTCCTCGCCCCTGGGCGCCAGCTGGCCAGGCCAGCCTGCATCCGGCGGGGAGGAGCTGCGCGGGCCGGGCCGAGGGGAGCCGGGCCGGGCGCGGTCGGCGGCGTCGGGGCCGCGCCGGCGCAGGTGGAAGCTGGAACTCCAAATTGGGCAAGCGGCGGCCGCGGCTGTGCGCATGTGTAGGAGGAGCCGGAGTTTCACTTTGTAACTTTTAAGTAGCCGGGACGCTTCCCAGTCCCTCCAGGTGGGAAAGGACAGCTGCCCCCGCCGCCTCCGCAGGTAAAGTGGGGAGTGGGAGGGCACCTCGGCTGGGACACGGGAACTGCGCGACCCGGGGTCCACGTTGAGTGCCCAGTGTCAGCGTCCGCATTCCCCACCCCCCAAGCCAGGGGGACTCCCGGGCGCAGTTGGGAGAGGGACTTGGCTTTGCAAACTGGCCTCTCTCTGAGGCCGCCACTTTGCGCCCTGGCGACCGACCCTTCCCGGTTCCTGGGTCCTGTGGGGGCGGGTTGCAGACAGGAGTGGACCTCGCAGCCCAACCAGGAACACCCCCCAGGTGTTTTCCTGCTTCCAGTTTGGTGGGGGGCAGGGTTGGATGCCGGAGTCTCTAGACGCGGTGGGAGAGGCGCGGCTCTTTGGTGGCCGCCCTTTGCCGACCCGCCGAGGCCTGTGGCCTGGAGGGTCAGTGGGGAGGGCGAGGAGAGCCCTGTCCGGGAACCGAGTCTGGGGAGCCCCTTGCACTTGGTCACACTCCAAGTCAGGGTCAACCCTAAGCAATGTCCTAAAGGGCAGGGGGCCATTGGTGTGGTGGACCCAAGCTCCGCCCCCCCCGCCCCCCGCTGCTGCCGCCCAGCGTCCCCTCCCCCACCTCCAAATCCCCTGGATTTTTCCCGCCCCTACCTGTTGAAGCTAAGCCAGAGGATGGCAGTCCCCAGTTCCTACCTGGTGGGTACATGGGGGCTGTGGGGAAACATCCTGGGATCTCTGTGCTGGCTGCAGTGGCTTGTGGGCATTCCGGGTCATCCTTAGTGGAGAAGCAGCCCTGCTTTCCCTCTTACAGCCCCGGCTGTCCTCCCTTCCTTTGTATGACACCTGCCGGGCGTCCTCAGATCTGTGCTGCCTGCACCAGGATGTGGAAAGAAGCCGAGGGGAGGTCTTCTTTTGCTTTCACACACCCCTGGCATTTGCTTACTGTCTCCAGCTGTTCCTGGGGCCCCTGCCTGCCTGCTGCTGTGTTTGCATTGGCTAGAGGGATGCCTTAAAGGCACAGGAGTTTTTTTGGGGGCATTTTGTTTTTAAGGCAGAGTTACAAAAAAAGAAATCTTCCACCCACTGGTTCACTCCCCATATGACTGCAACAGCTAAGGCTGGGTCAACCTGGAGCTTCTTCTGGGGTCTTCCATGTAGGTTCAGGGACCCAAGCACTGGGACCATTCTCTGCCGCTTTCTCAGGCCCATTAGCAGGGAGCTGGGTTGGAAGTGGAGCAGCCATGACCCCAACACGTAGGATGCTGGTGTTGCAGGTGGAGGCTTACTGTGCCACAGTGCTGGCCCTGGCACAAGTTTTTTCTTGTGCTCAGTAGGGGCATACTCAGGGCTTCAGTGTCTTATAAGCTTTGTCTCTTGAGAAAAACCCATTTCATGGAATAGGAGAACAAGGCAGGGAGTAGTTAAGGCACTTGTCTGATCTACAAGTGGTGCTGAGATGGAATTCCAGAACCTGCTTGTGTAACCTTTGTCAGGGCAGCCACAGGCTCAACCCCCATCCTCCGCCCTTCCCTGACTTCAGGGTTCCTGTTCAGCTTCCAGATAGTGTCCATACCTCAAGGACACCTTTGGGTGTGCAACTTGATTGTGCATCTAGAAGGTCAGAATGAGCTTGGAGGGCAGAAGACTGCTGGAGCTGCTAGTGCCCTGAGGAGACATGGTGGTGTTGACGGTCCCGGAACGAGAACACGGCCTTTCCTAGCAGAACCATGTACTTCCTGCAGCATTCTGCTGTGGTTTGTGGAAGGGAGGCCTGCGCTTGTCCAGTCTGCCACAAGGCTTGCTGCTGGCTCAGGTGGTCATTTTTGCTGGCTGACTTACTAGGCCTGTTTGGGAACAGCTGTGGGGTGCAATACTTTCCTCTTAGCCTTCGGGGCAGAAGGCTTTCCTACCCTCTGGGTATTGGAGGAAGGGGATGCTGACATGCCTGCTTTCTGGAAGGCTTAGAGGATGACTGGTATCCCCCCGTGGATCTAGCACACCCTAGGGGTGTGGTGTGTGTCTGAGCTGTGCGGTCTACAGTCTGGCCTGGTTCCTGTGGTAGCTGCTTTGCTCCCCTCTGGCAGGCCTGGTCCTCAGTTCCCAGCCACTGCAGGGAGGACCTGCACGGTGTGGCCCAGGGGAGAGCCACACCAGGATGGGGACTTTGTCAGGGGTGGGCTGTGACTAGGCTGAAAGGCTTGTGAGACCCTGGGGACCCCTTCTCCACAATCTGGCTGGACCCCAGCCTCCGGCTCCCAGGCTAGCTACCTCCCATTCTGTTTCTCATCAAGCTTGTTAAACCCACATGGTGGAGCCTGCCTAGGGGTGGGGTGCAGAGCCTCAGGAGGTGCTGAGCAGGATGATCAAGAGGTGCCCCAGGTGCCTACTTGCCTGTCTGCCCCTCCCTCCTCTTGGCATGAAGCCTCCGGGACCATGGGTCCTCCTCCCAGCACCACCCGCCACCGCAGCCGCCCCGAGGGACAATGCGTCCTCTGTGAGCATTTTGTGGATGTTTTTCCTCTTCCACACTTCAAGCCTGCCTTGTCTATTCAGCT